CCAATGACAAACTCAGGATTGGCCTACACTAACCACAAGCATACATTTATGTGCAGGCCACCACAGGAAAAAAAAAGAAAGAAAGACATCCCTATTTCACTCGATAACTTCTGCAATTTACACTGCCAAGAAATTCTGGAAATAGCCACTTTAGCACAAACACGATAAAGAAAAATTTTAAAGAGAGAAGAAAGGGATTAATGCGTTTGCTGAAATGAAGAAAGGGGCCAAAACAAAGGAAAAAAGAGAAAAACACACACACAGTGACCAGCAAGTTTCTTCTCTATCAGCTCTGCGCAGTTTACGCTCGGTCCAAACATCTCTCTCCAAGACTGCAAACTCTGTCAAAGCCTATTGAGGGACCTCACGTGACCCTGCCAAGCCAGCGCACAGACCGCGCATCCAAGGTTCCTGCAGGGGAAAGCTGACCATTTCGGTCTGGAAGGACGAGGTTCCATGGAAGCCCCGCCAGGCACAGCCGACGGTGCCTTTCGGGCACAAAGCTGGACACACCGCCTGCCCAGGGGAACCCGACTGCGGCCAGGCACTGCGCGCAGGCCCGCAAACGGCAGGGCAAAGGCAGCGGGCCGGCATGCTCTGCCTCTCCGCAACCGACTGCCCATCTGGCACGGCAGGATTAACTGAGATAATGGGAAAATGTGTTAAATTGCTATTTTCAGACTGGGAAAATTAACTTGGGAGACTTAAACATACGGGGGAATCCATGTTTCTTAACTTGACATAATGTTAGCAACCACCAATATACTGATTAAAAGTTATATATTCGACTGAAAATATCATGGTCTCAAAGAAGAGAGACTCCACAAACAAGGCAAACAGGCACAGCGGGACGGCCGTGTGGTCAGGCTAGAGAGCTAGAGAGTGGCCCTGGACAGAGAAGGCAGGCCGCCATTCCTGGGCCAGCTTTTTGAATAAATTAAAACAGTTCGGTGACCGTTAATTGCCAGAGATCAGTAATTACCGAAAACTTCCATTTATCTAATTTCTTTTAAAATAAAAGAATTACTATCATAAAAATTACAAATTTGCATTCTCTCCAAGAGCATAAATAACTTTAATGATACCTTTCAACTATAAAACGTTGTTTTATGAAACTGCATATATTACAATGCAACAGGCCTTTTTAATCACTTATTTCAAGTTCATAGCAATGGAAATGATAAGTTCTGTTGGGGGAGGGGCTTTACCCGAGCTGCCGCACAGCCCTATTTGGCCGGCTCCTTGTATGACATCACTGGTCGCTAATTCTTCTACACCTATAACGCTCAGGGCAGCCTTCTCACAACAGTAACTGACCTCTAAACAGCAAGTGGTACAGGGTAGCAGAAGTTTTTTCAGAAAGGGCCAAGGACAGCACCTCAGAAACCTCAGCCCCCCCCCCCTGCTGCTTCTGCACCACCCCAAGACCCTCCCCATCCCTAATACCAACTTTGTTGACTTGGTAAAAAATACATTAGGATGTTTTCTTGGCTCCCCTTATATACTCTAAGGAAGAAAAAAAACACCCAAAGCTTCAGGAAGTTTCCCTAACATTAACAGAAAAGTAATCAAGTCCCCTACATGTGCCGCCTTCCGTGTCAGGAGCTTCTTTAGCAACAGGACAACCTGTACATCTGATAAAGACTGTACAGATAAAGACTGTGATGTACTCCAAATAACCAAATAATTCGATAGTCCTTACTGTTGAGAAGAACTTTTGTAAATTTCACTGTTCCACCTGACTTTTGTATTACCAAACAAAAAAAAAAGAGAGAGAGAGAGAGAGAGAAAGAAAGAATTGCCCTGGCCAGGTGGCTCAACTGGTTGGAGTGTCATCCTGTGCACCAAAAGGTCAGGTTTGACCCCTGGTCAGGGCCCATACCTACGTTTCAGGTTCAATCCTGAGAGGCAACCAATCGGTGTTTCTCTTGCTCATCAATGTCTGTCTGTTTCTGTCTCTCTCGAAACCTCCTCCCCTCTCTCTCTCTCTATCTCTCTCTCTCTCTCAAATCAATATTTAAAAAAATATCCTTGCCCTGGCTGGTGTGGCTCAGTGGACTGAGCGCCAGCCTGTGAATTGAAAGGTTGCTGGTTTGATTCCCAGTCAGGGCACCGGCCTGGGTTGCGGGCCAGGTCCCCAGTTGAGGGCGTGTGAGAGGCAGCCACACATGGCTGCTTCTCTCCCTCTCTTTCTCCCTCCCTTCCCCTCTCGCTAAAAGTAAATAAATAACATCTTTTTAAAAAAAAATCCTCAGGTGAGGAGCTAAATAATAAAAAATTCTTCTTTATATTCCTTTCAAATTTTGCCTCTAAGATTAATAGCTTCAGATCAAAATTCTTTTGGGTACTAAATATAATTTTAAAGTAATAATAGTTCATGTAAAACCAGTAACTATATAGCCTGTACTTTTTTAATTTGATAAAACATAAAAATTATCTACTATTCTATAAACCCGAGAAAAGATCTCTCAAAAAGTTATCTACAGTTATAAAATAAGAAAATATTACATTTCTTTACCTAATTATCAAAAAGTCAAACCCAAAGACAGTGTAATTAGCAATACATGAGTACCTTTTATCAATCTAAAGACAAATACACAATCCCATTTTTGAAAAAGCGTCAAGGTGTATCCATGTTCTGTAACAAAACCACCCACTCCGGGACCATCTAAATAAGATGGACAATTTAAAAACCTGTATCTCTGCCGCATTTCAGAGAATATTAATTTTCATTTCCTACATAATTAACTTGCAAATACTTTCAGTGTTTACAAACCCAATTCACATTTGCCACCTATCAGTCCCACTTCCAGGGCCTCCACCAACTGCATACAGGGCCTGTTCTGCTTGCACCCTAATGCTGTGTAGAACTGGCCACGAAAACGCTGCCTTTTGCTTCCATTTCACTCATTGGTTTCCATTTAAATGTTCCTGAAACATGTGGAGATTCCACCCCCTTCAAAAAGCACACCTAGTTTTAAAGAATTCACTAAAAAGTTTGGAACCGTCAAAGTTAGCACTAGACTTTTATTTCCTACAAGGAATGCTGTACTAGTTCTCAAATCTAAAAGAGAAAAAAAACCTTGTAAGACCTGGAATTGTTCTAGACACTTTCCAAAGTGCTGCCGTTTTTATAGTGTTAGATTGGTGTGCTCTGCAGAAATGGAAATAAGAAAGTGATAACACCCCAAATCAATCTTCTTCCTGGTGCCACAGAGGCTGTGCCGATACAAACGAGCCCATTTCAGTCCCGGGAGGCGCGTGCACACACTCGCCAAACGCGTGGGTGAGGGCTTGGGGGCAGGTAAGTGGGCTCTTTCTAGAGCAAGAACTTAAAATCAGATCTAAAACATAAGAATCCCTAAATTAGTGTTCAGAAAGAAACCAAAAAAGTGCTTTCCAAATAGAGAAAATGGGAAGCAATGGAATGAAAACCCTAACATAGCTTGATGCTTGTTTTAAAGGCTACAAAAAGTGGCAAAGGAGTTGAAAGTTACTTAAAACTCCACCTCCCTTCTCCCCATTTCACTTAATACAGGACGAATAATGGCAATTCACAGGAGGCATTACATTATAATGCAAGTGGCATCCCAAACCCTAACTTTGTATGACAAAGAAGCTAATGCAGCAACACAGGCATCCTGTACCAGCTTCCCCGACGGTTTGTCACAGCTCGGTGAGAGCGGGCAATAAAACATGGAGGCAAGCTGAAGGCCCTGAATCGTTTTCATAATCAAGGATAGCAGAGAGGAAAAAGCACTCCAGGCGAGGGCTTCCTGGGGCTCGGGCAACCCGGCTGTGCTCCGCCTCAACCAACACCACTCTTTTAACTGGGTATCAGCAAACGCGACAACGTTTCTAAACGAATTCGCCCGAACAACAACAACAACAGTAACAGAGTATCCAGAAGTGTGCGGCTTCCCCCCGTCCCGTGCAGCCTTCCACTCCCGGCAGCCGCTGGGCAGACGACCGTACAATGCGATGAGTAAGCGACACACGCCATGCTCCAACTCCACAAGACAGGCACAGACCTTCCGTGGCACCCCCCGGAGCCACGGGGGCCGCGCGCCTCACTGGCACCGACACGGGCGTCTGAATTTCCAGGCAAAGCTGCCGCGGAGCCAGCCGCTCGGTGACAAGCCAGCGCCGGCGCCGGAGTCAGCCGCCGCGCCCAGGCCCCGTGCGTGCTCCGGGGCCGACGAGGGCTGTCCCCGACCCAGTAACTTCCAGGGAAGTTCAGCGGCGCTTCGTCCGCGTCCCGGGAGCGAACGTGCTCAGCACAGCCGGCCTGCGTTTCCCAAACTTCCTGCGCGCTCAGCCTCCAGCCGCGCGCCCGCACCGGAGCCGTGCGTTTGGGTGCCGGGCAGTGTGGCTCTGGGTGGGGGAGGGGAGCGAGAAGTCCAACGACTTCCTAATAGATCGTGGAAGGAGGAAAGCGCCGGGCTGGGAGCCGGAAAAGTTAAAGGGTGACAAAGGAAAGCGGCCCCCGTCGCGCCCGTCCCCGCCGCCCCACCCCCGCCCCCCGGCCGGCCGGGAGACCACCTGGCCGCGGCGTTTGACAGCTCGGCCGGCGTCCCGGGGCGCGCCGCTTTGTAGTTGACAATAAACTCGCCCGGGCACCGCCAGGTGTGCCGCGGTGTTTGTTTTTTAAAAGACCCAGCGAGGCCGGGAGCCGGCTGCGAGACAGGTCGCCCCGAGGAGAGGCACCCAGAAAGCACGGCGCAAGGGCCCAACTAAAAAGTAAAGTGTGGCGGCGGCGGCGGCGCGAGACGGCGGAGCCCGGCGGGGCGGGAGGTGCGGGGCGCCCGCGGGAGGCCAGGGCGCGGAGAGGGGCGCGGGGCAGGGCGGCGGGCGGGCGCCGGCCGGGGACGCGCGGCGGGCGGCCCCACCCCCACCCCGCGGGGGCGGCGGGCGCGGGGGCGGCGGGCCGGGCGCGCGGTGACAGCTCCGGCCCGGCGCCGCGGCTGGCTCCCGGCCTGGCTCCCTCACACTCAACTTACTTCTTTCTGGCTCTCTGGAAAGGGGAAGCGCCATCTTTGCGAGGCCGGCCCCGAGGTCTTTTGTCTGCGGCTGCGGGGCTCGGGGCCGGGGCTCCGGGCTCCTCGGGGGGTGGTGGCGGCGGCTGCGGCTGCTCCGCGCTCTTGTCCTCCTCCGACGACATCCTAGTCACCAGGAAAGACACATGGATCCCGGTCCTCCTCCTGGGGGGCTCCTCCCGCCGCCGCCGCCGCCGCGGCCGCCGCCGCCGCTGCTGCTGCTCGGGTTCCTCCTCCCCGGCTCAGCCTCTAGCATCGCCCGCAACCCCGGGAGCAGCAGCAGCAGGTACCGGGAGAGGCGGCAACATGGAGCAAGCAGGACACGCACTCACACACATCGGCGCGGGCGCGCGCACCTCGGCGCGCAGGGGCCGGGCGGGGGGCGGCGGGCGGGGCGGGCGGGCGGGCGCGAGGGAGGGGCCGGCGGGCGGGCGGGCGGGGAGATGCGGGCGGCGGGCGGGGCGCGGGCGGGGGCCGCGTGCGGGCGCGGCGGGGAGGCGGAGGGGTGAGGGGCGCCGGCCCGGGGTCTCCGCCCGCGCCCCTCCCCCAGGCCGCCCGCCGCGGGGAGGAGCGGGGGCCGGGCGGGGGTTGGCGCGCGTGCGGGGCGGGCGCGGGGCGACGGGTGGGGGTCGCGCCCGCCGGCTGCCCCTCCCCCGCGCGGGCCGCGTCAGGCCGGGCGGCGGCGGCGGCGGCGAAGTTTTGACAGCTGCTCCAGTTGTTGTTGTGGGTTCCGGGCTGCGCGAGCGCCGGCCCTTCGGCGCCCGCCCTCCCGGGCAGGGGAGGAGGAAGTTTTGAGGTGGTGCGTGTACCACACACCGACACACACTCGCGACCGTGGTCGCCGCGCGAGGGCCGCGCCGGGCTTCCCCCGGGCGCCCAGCACCACAGACCTCTCAAACTCGCCGCCGGCTCGCCCACACACGGCCGCCGCGACGCCCCCGCCCCCTCGCCCTCCCCCTCCCCCACCCGCCGGCCCCGCCGCCCCCCGCGCGTCGCCGCTGCCACTCACAGCGCTGGCTCCGCGCATGCGCCGCTCGCGGACGCGCCGCCGCCGCTGACCTCACCGCCCCTCCCCCGCCCCCGCTCCCTCCTCCTCTGACGCCGGGGCTCCGGCTCCGGCTCCGGCTCCGGCGAGCGCCAAGCTGCGGAGGGAAAGTCCGGGATCGGGGTCGGGTGTGCGCGGCGGCCGCGGGGGGAGGAGGCGGCCGCTCGGGCGCGCGCCCCGAGCCAGACCGGCTCCGCCGGCCCCGGCCGGGCTTCTCCGGCTGTAACGCGCGGCTGTGGAGGGGGAGCGCGCCGCAACTTCGCGAGAATCCCTTTCCACAGATAGTGCCGTTATTACGGCGTCATTTAAGAAAGGATCCAGGAAGGGCTTCCACAGCTGGGCACCAAAAGGCCGGGGGACGGCGGGTGGGAGGAGGGACTGAGCCCGTGCAGACCCGGCAACTTGATTTTCACGCCCAGTGTGGGGTGGTGGTGGGCGGACAAAACACCGAGCCCTGCGGAGCCGCCTCCCGTCAGCCGTGGACTCGGCGGAGGCAGAACGGGGCTGGAGCCAGCCCTCTGATCTAGGCACTTCCTCGGAAGGACAGCGGCGACGGCGGGACCCCGAGCGTCCATCTGTGCCGGGCAGCCGCCGGACGATGTGCTTCCCGCCCGCGGCCGCCCCGGACACGCGCGGCCGTGGGCAGCCTGCCGCCGCGAGTGGGCGGGGGCCACGCCGACCTGCCAGCCGACCAGTTGCGCGCGCACCGGGCCGGGCTGTCATTCCCGGAGCGAGCGGGCGCTCGGGCCGGGCCCTCGGGGCGCTCTCGGCGCCGCCTCGCCTTCCTCCCGGCGCGGCTCTCCCGGGTGCGGGGTGAGGCGGCGGCCGGCTCCCGGCGCCGGCGCTCGCCTGCCCTTCCTCCCAGCGGCCGACCGTAAACTTTAAATGGCGTTTCCTATTTGGGCAAAGCGTACAGTTGGATTTCCAGAGTCTCTTCTGAATTAAAAGCCCCTTTTTTTTTTTTTTTTTTTTTTTTTTTTTTTTGGTGAAATGGCTGAAATGAGAACTCTAAGGAGCTAGGCATTGGAATTCCTTCAAGGTTTAATCCCGACTGGCTTTCTCAAGTTGACTGAATTGACAGCCACGGGAATTTTGAGCTTGGGGAGAAGCTGGCTTGGTCCATGCAAACTAAAAATTAAAAGTGCCTGCTATACATAGAAATACAACGTACCTGTGACTAATGATAAATGCACGAGGTGGTGTATTTAAAATGTGTTATTACTCACCCTTTCTTTTTCATAGTTTCTATACGTGACGCTTTAAAGCACCCTTTCAAAAAAAGGCATTACTGAGGCAAATATTTACTGGGTTCCCTGCTGGAATTAGAGCGGCCATTTCCACCTGTGCACAAAATTGTGGACCTGGGTAACTCGGGCTACTTCCTCAGCACTGGGGGGGCCGGGGGGGGGGTCGGGTCAGGGTGTGCAAACGGCCCGTCTCGGGTTTACGCAGCGATGCTTCTGGAAAGAGAGAGGGTGGTGACGGTGGGTGAGGAAGCCCGGCCTTAAAGCTCCGTTCCCCTGGCCCCGGGGCGCAGGCAAGGAGTTGGGATCTGCTGGACCTGACAGTAGGCGCGCCCGCACGACGCGATCCCAGGCAGAGCAAATACAATGTAACTCGGGGTGCAAAGGAACTATGCCTCAAGAAAGAGTTATCCACCATAAAATCTTTCAAAGGTCATTCCATTTCCATTATCCACGTTACACGGCTCTGAGACCACGATGGCAGCCAAAATCCAAAGGGCCGGTGGCTGAGGGGCCTCCAAATTATGAGATGAGAGAGGCATGAGCATCTGCAAAGACCAGAAAAGAAAAAATTAGAATGTCTACTTCCTACCAAGCACACATGTTACACAGGCATTTTTTCAATATGGCACCAAAGTGCAATCATCTCTGAAGGGTGGGGTGGCGGGCGCTTTCACTTTCTATATTACATTTCTCTAAAATATAATCTTTCAAAGCACATGTAGTATAATCAGGAATATATATTAAATATTTAAAATGTGGGTGGAGTGAGGGCTTTATCTGCAACAAAGAAAAAAACCACCTCTCAATAAACTGTAGCAAATGAGATCCTCAGAGTGTAGCAAGCAACAATGAATACAAATCCATAGTACAGGCCCCATTCTTACTAACCGAAGGCCTACATATGTCGTCTATACGGTCTTTACTCAGAGTGTGTCTTAATCGCTTTGTTTTAGTGAATGTAAAAATATGGCTAAGGCTCTCCCACAGATTCACTAATTGCTATCTTTTTGTTTGTTTTCCCTTGAAGTCATAAATTCCGTGGGGCTTTTGAGGAACCAAACTTTTACAGTTGGGGAAGGACCACTGAAAATTTAAATTCTAGATCTTACCATTTTTATATTCACGTTTTTACTATCAAAGATACACATTAAAAAGTTGCAGGAATGACTATTGTTTGTTTTTTCTTTTCCTTTATGTTTCAGTAGAAAAAAATGTTTTAAGAATAATTTCAATCACTTACAATTCATTCATGTTTAGTCTGTGGAGCATTTTTAGCTTTTAAAATTCATGTTGCTTCGCGTAAGTTATTTCAGTAATTCATACCATGTACCTGTGAGAAAAATTAAAGAAACTGAGAAGAAACAAACAGAGGGATCACCTTAAAAAAAAACAACGTGAGCCTTGGAGTGGGAGGCAGGAGTGAGCCGCCCGCTGGCTTTTTGAGGGAGATACGGATCTTGCCCTCCAGGGGTGTATACTCTAAGCCTGGCACTACTTCACAAGACAAACACAGCAGGGACAGGCAGGCAACTGAAAAATAAACACGGAAAAACATACAAATAGGAAGATTAAATATTTATAGCCATTGTGTACACAATCATAGTTTTAAACGAAATGCAGCTGGGGGTTTGGGGGGAAGGGCAGGGGTGTGACCAGTCAGCAGACAGCGCTTCTGTTCCCAAGAGAGTGGCTTCACCAACAATCTGCCAGCAAGTGTGTTATATGCTCCGAGAAATGGGCTCCCTCCCCGCCCCCCCCCATACACTTAGGTTCCTCTCCCTTACTGATATACAAGAACACGGCGTGGTTCCTAGGGATGCCGCACCGATCGACCACAAACTGGGTGGCTTTAAACCACGGAAATGTGTTCCCTCCCCGGTCTTGCAGCCAGAAGCCGAAAATCAAGGTGTCGGTGTGGCTGCGTCCTTTCTGGAGGCTCTGAGGGGGGCTCTGTTCTGCGTCTATCTCCTGGTGTCCGGTGGCTGCCCACAGTCCTTGGTGTCCTTTGTCTCGGTGCACGACTCCAAGCTCTGCCTCCGTCGTCACATGGCCCTCTCGTCTGCGTGCCGTGCCCTCACATGGTGTTCTCTGTGTGTGTGTGTGTCTTCTGTTCTTGTAAGGGTGCCAGTGACATTGGATTCGGGATCCACCCGACTCCAGGGCGACCTTGTCTTAGTTATATCTGCAATAATCCTCCTCTTCCTCCTCCTCCTTCCTTTTCCTTCAGCCCTCACTTTAGACTTCATTTCCATCCCAGGCCACTGCTCTCCCAGTGCTGATGGCTGTGTGTCCCTGTGGATGCTTCTGTGACACCTGTCCTTCACCCGTCCCGGACGCCCTGACCTGTAACGAACTGCTGGTGAGCTGTCTGGATCCCACCCTGAACCCGATGGAGACCCTGCCGCTTTCTGCCTTTTTCGCCTTTTATCCCTGTGACTCAGCAGCAGCTCAATAAATAATTGTGGAATAAGCAAAATAAGTGGGGAAACATGTTGACAGTTAACAGAAAGAACTAAGACAATCCTTCAAAGGAGTGTTTACTTTTTACAAAGAAACAGTATCTTTATAAACAATGTATATGTGCATACTTTGTTACTTTGCTACATGTGATGTTGGTTGTTACCATGTATTTTACATTTCTATAAAGAGACAGGGAGTCATCCTGGAGGCCTATAACCACCGTTTGTGATGCTCTTGCCAGGGTCGCTGGCTTTCGGAAACCTGGGCAGAGAGGATCACACCTGTTTCTCACGGAGTCTCCAAAATCAACAGAGGTCAAAGAGCTGTCCACAGTCTTCAGCAGGCCTGCGGAGAAACGCTTCTGGCAGCCAAGACAGTGGGGAGGGGACACGGTTCCAGAGCAGCGCACACCGTATGCGTCAGACAAGCCGGTTCTGTAGGACTGTCCTGGCCCATGACTGCCTCAATGTGTAAACAAGGGTCATCTCCGGGCTTGGGTTTCTTTTGCTTGTTGGTTTTTGGTTTTTTATTCATCAATTACAGTTGACATTCGATATTATTGTATATTAGTTTCAGGCATACAACGTTATGGTTAGACAGAATTTACGAAGTGATCCCCTGATACGTCTAGTGCCCGTCTGGCACTGAATATTTGTGGAAATATTAAAACAATGCCTGCCCCATTATCGTGACTCCTGACCATTATCGTCCATTTCAGGGTTATATTCCCCCCCCCCCTTAGGGGGCAAATAAAAAGGGTTTGGTTTCCAAGTGAAAACGCATGGCAACACTCTGTCTTTCCCCCACCCTGACAGGCCTCACGCGCACCCCCCGCCTGGCACGCGACCCGACGCCTGTGGGAAGCCGGGCTCGTGCGGGGGGGAAACCCTTCTCCCTCGCCCCTCTCTGTGTCCCGGCCCCTGCCCGCCCCCCCCATTGGACGTTGTGGAGATCCTGTGTGTTGCACCGAGAAGGAAGCCGTCGCTGCCCCCATAGTCTCCCTATGAGGGAAGGAGGGAGCGAGCCAGCGGCGGGGAAGGGTCAAAAGAAGAAACTTACCTTCTAAGGGGGGAGGGGGCGGCCGGAGGGCCCCAACCCATTCCCCTGGGTTGTCTCCCTTCTGGACCTGGGAGGCCAGGCCCTCCCCCTCCTCACCGCCCCTGTCTGTCTGTCTGTGGGCTGTGGGCCTCTCTCCCTCGTCTTGCCCGGCCTTTGCCCGCCCAGTGACCTCACTGCCATTGGGAGGAGGCGAGGCGCTCTGTGTGGCCTCACACACCTGCAACCTGAGGGACACACAGGCCGACAGACACCGCAGGGACCCGACGACTAGCGCGGACAGACAGGGACGGCGGCCAAGAGGCCGAGGCGTGAGCGGGGCTGCGCGGGGGAGAGAATCCAACAAACCGCGCCTGCCGCTCAGACGGGCGACCCGGGGGCCGCGGCGTCATCAGGAAGTGAAGTGCGGCGGCCCGTCCTCCTCGCACCTCACTCAGCGTCCCCTCGTGGTGGCCGGATTCTCCGCAAGCCCAGGGGCCTGGCGCGTGGGCGGGCCCTTGCCACGGAGCGACCAGGCCTGCCTTCCGCGCCCCGGCAGGTCCCCGACCGTCCTCCTGTGACCTCATTCCCTGCGCAGGGTTCCAGGTGCCACTCTGTGAGGTCATCGGGATCAGATCCCTTGCGGCCACCACGGGTCGGAGGCTGCAGGAGCCCCGTTCCTTCACAGCTCAGTCTGGAGGTGGTTTCAGACCTGCGCTCTCGGCAGGCCATCCCCGCCCCCAGCCTGGAGGGCGGATGTCCCCAGACCCCGGGTGATGGGTCGCCCTGTCAGCTGATCCCTGGAGTAACGTCAGAGGTCGGTGCCGCGGCCCCGCTGCTGTTTCGGGAGCGCCCCCGCGGCCCGGGTGGGCTGCCCGCTCGGCGGGCCACAGCTCGCGAAGCCCCGTCCGCGCAGGAGCTGCCCCAGAGGCTGTGGCCGGGTCCCCGCGGTCCGGGAGCCGAGGAGCAGCCCCTTCTCAGCAGCCTGGTGGCGGCGCAAGCCTTGGCCAGGGTCATCCGGCCGTGCTACGGCCCCTACGGCCTCCAGAAGCTCCTGGTGACCGCCAAAGGCGAGACGGTCTTCACGGGGGACGCCACAGCCATCCTGGACGCCCTGCAGTTGGAGCACCCCGCCGCCCGGCTGCTACGGGACGCGGCGCTGGGCCAGGCCGAGCACTGCGGCGACGGGGCGGCTTTCGTGGTGCTCCTGGCCGAGGCCCTGCTGGCGCAGGCCGAGCTCCTGCTGCGGGCCGGCCTGCCCCGCACTCAGCTCCGGGAGGCCTACGCCGCCGCTACCGCGGAGGCCCTGGCCCTGCTGCCGTCGCTGGCGATCCGGTCGCTGGGGCCTTTGGAAGACCCGTTCTGGGCCCTGTATTCGGTGATGAACACCCATGCGCAGTCCCAGGCGGAGTCCTTGGCCCGGCTGGTGGCGCACGCGTGCTCGGCGGCCAGGGAGCCTGACGGCACCTTCCGCCCGGAGCGCATCGGCGTGTGCGCGCTGCCGGGCGGGCAGCCGGAGGACGCGTGCCTGCTGCCGGGGCTGGCCGTGCCGGGGCGGCCCTGCGGGCAAGTGGCCGTGGTGCTGGGCGGCGCCAGGGTGGCTCTCTTTTCCTGCCCCTTTGGGCTCGCCAGTCCAAATGCCCCCGCGATGGCACGTCTCACCAGCCCTGCTGAACTCGTTCAGTTTAGGAAAGGGAGCGAGCGCCTGATCGAAACGCAAGTAGCGCATCTGAGAGCTGCGGACATCAACGTGGCGGTGGTGTGCGGGGAGGTGGAGGAGAAGGCCCTGGCCCAGGCGGATAGGGCCGGCCTCATGGTGATCCGCGTCAGGGCCCCGCGGGAGCTGGCCGGCCTGCGCCAGGCGCTGAACACGCCTGTCATGCCTCGCCTGGCCGCGCCGCCGGAGCCGGGGAAGTGCCAGCGGGTGTACGGGCAGGAGCTGCGGCAAGGCCTGGCCGTGGTGTTTGAATGGGACCCCCCGGGCACCCCCGCCCTCACCGTGGTGGTCAGGGGCGCCACGACGGCTGGGCTCCGGGCCGCGGAGCAGGCCGCCCACCACGGGATTGACGCCTACTTCCAGCTGTGGCAGGACCCCCGGCTGCTCCCGGGGGCCGGCGCCACGGAGATGGCCCTGGCGAAGATGCTCTCCGACCGGGGGACCGCACTGGAGGCGCCGCGGGGCCTCGTGCTCCTGGGACTGGCCCAGGCCCTGCACTCTCTGCCGGCCGCCTTGGCGGAAAATGCGGGCTTGGCTGCCGCCCGCGTGATGGCGGACGTGAGCGCCGCCCACCAGGCCGGGCACTCGCTGGCCGGGGTGGGCGGCGAAGGCCTGATCAACGCGGCCCAGGGGGAGGTGTGGGACACGCTGGCAGCCAAGGCCCAGGGCCTCCGAGCCGCGGCCGACGTGGTCCTGGAGCTCCTGACTGTGGACGAGATCGTGGTGGCCAAGGACAGTGGGCCGCGCCAGGAGGGCCCGAATCCCAACCCTTAGAAGGCAAAGGGACGCCGTCGCCTGTGGGAAAACCTAAGTGGCAACGCCCTCCAAAAAATGGGGCCCGTCAGGGTGGGCACCTTCACCCTGAAAACGACTGTTTGCCTTACTTATTCCCTCCGTGTTTGGGGCAGAGTCCGTTTCTTTGGCTGAAATAACAAAAATCCTTTCCGTTGACTTCCTTTCAGATTCTTGGCCTTTTTTATCTCCTGTTTCTCTCCATCAGATTCTGTTCTTTTCCTCCAGTAAGAGCAGGATTCAATTCTATTAAAGGTTTTTAAACTATCTGGCGATGCATAAAAAAAAGAAAAAAAGAAAAGAAAGTGCAGGAATCTCTTCCCAACTACTTTATTCCTGCGTGACGTTCCAACACATGTGAATCTACACGTCACGTTAGCCATCTGAGGACACCAGTCCCAGCTTACGGGAGTGGCGGCCCATTCCTCCTGTGAGTATTTGGAAAGAGGAAGGAATATTATTTAAGGCAAGGAGGAGGAGAGTGGAGGAAAATCAGCTGGCAGGCAAGCAGGCAGAAATACAACGTTTTTAAAAAATGCATCCTTGGCACAGGTAACGATGGATCAAACGCACAGGCTAGAAATGCACCAAGGTCGTTCTCCGGGGCGGGGGGCGGGGGGGGCGCCAGAATAGCAGGGCGGGGTTCCCTCCAGTCAGGGCTGGACACCCCGGGCATTAAGGGGGATCTGAGCATTAACTGGAGAGCCAGGAGCGGAGCACCCACGCCACGCAGGCCTCCACCCCATCAACCGCCCGAGTCCCTCTGCTCTGGGGAAAGAGCCGAGCCCAGGAGCGAGCGGGGAGGCTGCCATCTCTCACGGTCATACACACAAAAAAGCTGCGACGGAGCGAAACAAGTCTGCAAAGATTCTTTGGAAACCCAGAGGACGTGAAGTCCTGAAAAGCTGGCGGGGAAGGAAGGGCGGCGCGTGGAAGTGCGGAGCCCCGTGCCGGTCACCGCCTGCGTCAGGCCTGTGGCGCGCCCCGGCCTGCCTTCTTCCTTGCTTTGTCTTCATCGCTGCGTTTCAGCGAATGTAACTAAGAGTTTCACATTTCTCTCCTTCCCTTAAGTTCTGCATTCCAGTCTCCATTCCATAATAGTCACGATAATGATAGAAATAGTTAACTTTCTAAAGCAGTTCCAAAGAACTTTCCATAAATTTCCATAAATTTTATTTCATCATCAAAACATACTTAGAGAAAGCAGCTTGATTATCTCTCAGTTGCAGGAGACACATTTGAGGTTCAGAAACATTAAGTAATTGACCAACGTTACATAATAAATAGAAAACAGAAATCCAAAGTCATTCATTGTTTTACTGCCTCAATTATAAATTTCTCTATTGTGACATTTTCAGAGATATAACCTCTATGATTACAAAGCAAATATGCTTCAAAATGGCTCTTGGGAAATTTACAATTAGTGTTTTTAAAATTAGACAAAAAGCCACGCTTATTCTGTAAATAAATAAATAAATAAATAAAAGACGCTCCTGCTCACGGAGAACATTTTAGTTACAGATCCAAGGCATAGCAGAGATCTGATGATGTGATATAGGATATTGTAAATGTTCTGAGGGGGACACACAAGGGGTTTTTTGATCCTTGGGGGAGAAATCGTGTTGTAACAGTTCATTGCCATCTCCGCTCCCCCTAGCTAGGCAGATACACGCACACAAGTCTGCATCCGTAAATGCAAGTGAAAATTACCAAGGTCAGCCCTGGCCGGGCAGCTCAGTTGCTTAGGGCGCAGTCCCAAAACACCAAGGTTGAGGGTTCAATCACCAGTCAGGGCACCTATGAGAATCAACCAGGGAAGGAATCAGTTAAGTGGAATGACCAATCGATGCTTCTCTCTGCCTCTCCCCCTCTCTCTAAAATTAATAAAAAAATGATCAAGGTCAGTGTTTCAAGGGACAAGGAGAGTGTGGCAGACACAAATGGCACCAGCCTATGCTGAGAGCCTTGGAGGTAAAAACACGTGGCCCACACTTGAAGTCTGAAGCCAGAGAACTCGGGCGTCTGTGGGGCGTGTTGGGGGGGCCCTGGAGCTGGCGCTGGAGGCGCTGCTGCCCTCCTGCCCCAAGACGGGCTGGCCGGCTCTCCAGTTCGCTCTCCTTGGAGTACATCCCCCTGAGTGAGCAGGAGTTGGTTTCCCCGTCCTGTATCTAAAGGGCATCGGCTGCTCCAGAAGGGCAGAAAATGTCACGCACAGCCAAGGTGAATACCGAGGGCAGCTAGAGGCAGGGCTCGGGGAAGGGACCAGAGCAGAGAGCGCACTGGGAGCCAAGAGAGTCTGGGCTGCAGCCGCTTTTAGCATCAGGTGAGCGCCTTCCTCCCCGCAGCCTCCTGCCCTCTGCGCTCTTGCTGCTTAGAGTGATCCGATCCGCAAACCAGCGGCGGCAGAACACGTCAGAAACCCAGGGTCTTGGGCCCCTCCGCCACCCACCCACACCTATTGTGTCAGAATTTGCACATTGACAAGATCCCCGCGTGACTGGGGTGCACGTTAAAGTCTGAGAAGCATTGGTCTAAGCACTAATCCCGATCAGCTGTATCCTGATTATGCTTAGAAATGAAGTGTCCTCCTTAAAACCTCCTGCAGTGTCAAAATGCACGACTGGGACATCCAGTCGTTCCTTTTCACCCGCTGACTGTGGAGAAGTTGACCAGAACGTGGCCTCGATTTCACTGGCTCCTGACCCGCGCCCGAGGCTGCGGGCCGAGGCCCGAGGTTTCCCAGGTGTGGGGCTCGGTTCTCCCAAGGCCTGTGGAGTCGGCCATCCGGGCCCCTTCCCAGACGTCTTTCTCTTCTCCAGAAGCAACTGAATTTCAGAAATGACAGCTCCTAGTGCCCATTCTCCATGAAACTTGCAGCTGGTGGACTCATTTGTTCTTCCATCCCAAATCCTTTCTGGTTCAGCAACGTTGTTTCGTGGGGCTCGGAGTCGATCCAGCAAGCAGACAGCGGAGAAGCAAGAGGCGGAGGAAATGGGCAGGGACGGGGAAAATGCCTGACCCGGGCGAGTGAGGGAGACGGGCGCCTTTCTTGGTGGTGGAGCCGCAGCCGAGTCGGCAGAGCCGCTGCGTCTCTGGGCACCCGGCAGACTGGCACCTGCACAGGTACTGGAGTCCTGAAGGAAGGAAAGGCATTGTTTTCAAGTGAAAAGACGCCTGCAGAGTTGCCCGTAGTTTGTTCCGGTCCTTGGCCAAACGGACCTCTCCCCAAGAGGCCTCTGTGCAGAGGCCCCCGAGGACAGGCTGCACCCTGACGGGCCGAGGTCTCTTCCGTGCCGAGACCGGGGGAAGGAGAAGGCTAAGATTCGGGAGGGGACAGAGAAAGCTCCAAAGCGGGCCATCTGAATGGGAGGCAGAGAGAATATCGAGGCTCAGGGACTCACTAATTTCATGTGTAAGCAAAACTCATCTGAAGAAGTCTCGCCCCAGCCCTGTCAGCTGCACGGACCAACAGGCGCAGTGCAGGCCGCTCCTAGAGATTCTGACCCCTGCGGACGATGACCCTGAATGGGAGCGTGGCTTCCTGAAAGCTTCCCCTGCTCAGCCGCCTGCTTCGGTGCCCTGCTGCATGGCGAGCTGTCCGGTGGTGCTGCTATGCGGAAACCTGCGGCAGCCAGAGACCTTGGAACCGCTGAGCCGCCTCTTCTCCCAAAACGACCGCCCCCTACACACGCGACAAGACCCCCGTTCCCTGCAGGAGGAAGGGAAGAAGGTTGGGGTGGAGGCAAGAGGGATGCTGACGAGTTTCTCAGGGGGGCCTGCTCTACCCCCACCGCTGCACCCCGTGGGTCCCAAGGAGAGAGTGGGGCAAGAGCGGTTAGCATCTCCGGAGAGCTGGGGGCCGGGGGAGGCGCGCATCTGGGCACAGAGGAGGTTCCCTGTGTCCAGCCTGGAACCCAGGAGCCCCAGGAGGTCCTGTGCTAACGGGTGGGTGGAACGGAACGGGCGGTGGGGGAGGTGGGGAAGAAAGGGGCCCAAGGAACGTTCTGTGGGGGCGCAGAGCCTGGGGCATGGGAGGCAGGTTGGCCCAGCCAGGAGGGGGATGGGGAGGGGGAGGGGGAATCAAGAACTGACTTGGGGGAGGTCTGGGCTGGTCAAGAAAAACCAGGAAGAGACTACTTTACTTGGAATGAACTAGATTAAGTGTTCTGCCACCAGGGAGAGAGGGCGTTGGAGGGAGACAGAGGGAGATCCGTGAGTTGTAGACAGACATCCCAGCATGCCTCCTACACACTGAGTTCAGGGCTTGAAAATTCAAACTCTCTACCAATGTAAAGACTATGCAAGGAGTGCAGACGCTGTCCTGCACGCGTCCCCCAGCAGAGCCTGACACCAGTGGCTGCAGAGCTGAGAGAGACGAGATGCGGGTTAGCAAGGCGACGCAACACAGCCTTCAGATGGGGTGTTGTCCATTACAGAGCTTAAAAAGCATAATCATGGCTCTCCTGAAGTTCTCTTCTAACGCACCGAAGCGTCAGAAAGGCAAGGCGGACCCCAGCAAACCTTTCTAAACTTCACTGAACTCACAGTGAGAAATGTTTTCATGCCCAGATTGCCATTAATCTCGTTAAACATTCAACACCTGCGTGTTCTGCCTCCTGTGCCCACCGGCTCCGGACCCGGCCCTGCAGAGGCCTCCGCGCGGCTGTTCCTCCGGCCTCACTCCTGGGCGCCGGCCCCTCTGGGCCAGCGTTGCCCCCAGGAGGGGCCGGGCAGGTTGTCAGCCAGCCTCCGCCCTCCCTGCGGAAATGCAGGATGTTGCACACTTCACATTCATCTCTCCCTTCATTTTGATCGAAAATCTCCTACTTCAATTTTGTTAATGCAACTTGTTCACAAAAGGTATAAGAAACTCCATTGCAATATTGTTTCGTGTGAAAAAGTTTCCAAAAGTGCTGTCAATGTTTTTTACATTAGACTCTAATTTAAGAACCTACACACGCCTTAATTCCTGAAACGAAATAGAAAACATTTCAAAATATACCCAGATGTTACTCAAATTTAAACTCTTTTTTGAATTGATTGTAATTGACATATAACATTGTATTCATGTGAGACATGCCACACAATCATTTGATACGTGGACAGATGAAACAATCACCGCCGTAAGCGTAGTTAACATCCATCGCCACAGCTACGATTTTTTTTTCTTATGAGAACTTTTAAGAGCTACTCTCTTAGCAAACTTCAGATACACAATATAGTATTGTTTTTATGGTTTTATTTATTGACTTTAGGGAGAGAGGAAGAGGGGAAAGAGAGAGAGATCAATTTGTTGTTCTAACTGTTCTTGTATGTGCCCTGACCAGGGACCCACGGCCTCGGTGTATCGGGAAGCGCTCTAACCAAAGGAGCTACCCAGCTGGGGCCTACAATACAGTATTGTTAACCATAGTCGCCACGGTGTGCATCGCACACCCAGGATGTATTTAAATGACAACTGGCAGTTGGACCTGTGCCTCCTTTCACCCATTTCATCCACTCATCACCCATCTCCACCTCTGGCACAGGGATCTGTTCTCTGTGTCTATGACTTTGGGTCTCTTCCCTTTTGTGGATTCCATGTCTATGCAGATCGTACAGTATTTGTCTTTCTTTGACTTATGTCACTTAGTGTAATGCTCTCGAGGTTAATTCATGTCGTTGTAAATGACAAGAGTCACCTCCTATGGCTGAGTGATATCCCACTGTATATATGCACCACACCTTTATCCATCCATGGACACCTGGGCCGTTTCCATGTCTTGATGTGGTAAATATCTCTACTGATCTCTTCAGCTTTTTACTTTCATAAAAAGTTTTTCCTCTTCCTTTATCTAGTGAACTCTCATATACTCTGTCTTAGACTTAATCAAACAACAGGCTTTCTAGAAGTGCTAATGGCTAACATTTTCCTCTTGTTCTGTAAACAGCGGAGAGTTCTGGAATTAAATGTAACTGCACTTCAAACCACAGAGGGGCACAGTGTACTGATCTCTGCGGTCGGAGCCTTTACTGTCACCCCAGTGTTAGGAGCCACCCAGAGACCAGAATTCAGCTTGGTCAACAAGCAAGGAATCTTGATCGTACTAACTTGCCGCTTAGAAATGAACAAATTACATGGATGGTGGCTGAGAAAGACAAGGGCCCATTTGCTACAGTGATCGACACATGGCACATGAAACTTATCAGCGTATTGAATGAATGAATGAATGAATACATGCATGAAGCCATTTGAAGCCTCATGAACTGGTGTGAGGCTGTGAAAATACTCCACTCAGGCCTGCTCCATGCAGCGCACCGACTAAGCGCCACATTCCTCGGAAGGGCGCCTGGGCTCCAGCACCCCATCGGCCTGACCAAAGCTGGCTCTGAGCTGCAGACCTCACTGCCTGCTCTGCCTGCCCCACTGCCCCTTCCCAGGGGTCCGACGTCCCTGCTGCCTCCAAATGTCTCCTCTTCCTTCCCTCACAGGCGCCTCCTCCCACGCATCTGCTGCAGGACAACACTGCCTTGCCATCTATTTTGCAAGGACCTGCACTAACATGGGAGGGCAGGCCACAAATACAAGGCTTACTCAAAGCAGGTCGTTTCTTCCCCGCACTAGATTTGCCCCCCCTGCGAGGGACTCCCAGCAGTCACGGCAGGAGGGGAGACTTCCTGAGAGCCACTCCCTGTGCCACTCCCTGTGCCACTCCCCAAAGGCAGCAGCACCACGCCTGGGTGGCAGTCAGCACCTCCCTACCCGGCCTCCGGCCTCCGGGGGCAGCCTGCGAGGGCCGTGAGCACTCACACCCCCGCCCTTTCTTGGGTGGCGTTACTCATTTCTAGGAGTCAAGTAAGCCTATCCTTCCTTTGAACATCCTCTCCCTTTCTCCTCTTACTAAGGCACTATTGCTACATTAATAACAAAAATAAAAAGCCTGGCCCAAGAACAGCATTTTATTTACTTTCCAGGCCCTTCTAGAACCATCACCTCACCTGACCCACGTAATATAAAGATGAGTGCAGACGGGACCAGCATTATCAGCCCCACTTCCCAGAGGAAGAAGGTGAGACCCGGACTCATCCCTGTGGGCATCGGCGTCCACCCATCCAGTGAGGGCTTCGACCCTTTGACCGCTAGGTCCCCTCCCACTCCTGAAATGGTACGATTTCCGAAAATTCCCTGCAGTCATGAAGCTAGATGAGGGGCCTGCGAGGAAAGCCTTTGTGTGGCAGGCTCATTCTGCCACACCGTGCTGTCTGTGCTGGCATTTACCAGCGGTCCCCGCGCGCCGTGCACTGTGCTAAGTACTTGCAGGGGCACTGTTGAACACCCACTCA